CTGCACATCACAGGGAGCCTGCTTAGTAACGTGAGGATGTGGGAAGGGTTCTGGAAGATAATCTAATGAAAGGTGAATGGAGCCAAAAATAGAGCCAAGAATGTTAACAATATCAAGTTTAGAAAGATACATATCAGAAGACTCTAAATTCTTTGAAAGTATCCTTCTGCTATTTACTGAGTCATTGTAACAGGGGTGCAACTTATGTCTGCCAATCGTGAAAGTAACAACTTAGCCTTGAAAAATTAAAATCTTGGAGATATGAGAAGTTATTGGCTCATAGTGGGGGATTTTTATAAAGGCCTCATGGAAATCAAAATTTTAAATGTAAGGTTATTGATGATCTAAATGTCATAAACTTGCTTTATAATATTCTCTTACAACTGTCAGGCTGATTCTGACTCATAGTGACCCGATAAGACAGGGTAGAACTGCCCTTATGAGTTTCCAATACGGTAACTCTTTATGAGAGTCGAGAGCCTCAGCTCTCTCCGGTGAAGTGCCTAGTGGTTGTAAGCTGCTGACATCGTGCTTGGCCGCCCGATGTGTGTCGTGTCCCCCCCCCACCGTATGGAAGTTTGTATTCAGTAAGCAGAGAATACGCAGGTCCTTTTCAGGTACCCATGTATTGTAAACTTGACCATCAAGAGACAACACAAGAAATTAACCAAGTAGAAAGTTGGGCAGCCTACATTCTCTGACTCTGAACTAGAAAACAAACACTTAAATGTCAAAGTCAGTAAAGTCAAATGATTGGTAAATTTGAATTCAATTAGGTGAATTGGGTACATATATTTTACTAAAATATATGTTAGGGGCCTGAAGCTAAAAGAAGAATTCCTGAATAATCTAGTAACCAAAGAAGAAATCTGTTCTTTCCTCTTTTTAAAAATCACATTGAGTTCAGACGGTTTCACACACGGGTTGTATGAGAACATCAAAGAGCAGGTAATTCATATCTTATTTAAATAGCTCACCAAAAACATGTAGCTCTACCACTAAGACTAGATGAAGCCAGCAAAAGAAAGAAAGGCAGGGACCAGAACTGTAGACTCTGATTACTTAAGTTTTCAAGTTTAAGGTTTTCTTAAGAGCTTACGAGTGGAATGAGGCAGAATCTTTTTAAAAAGGGCTTATTTTAAGAAATGGCAGTTGGGTGGCACAAGTGCTCGACTGCTTAGAGAAAGATGGGCAGTTCAAAGCCAACAGGTGCCCTGCGATATAGGCCTAGAGATATACAGCCGGCAGTCCCTGTGGGTCGCGACCCCTTTGGGGGTTGAACAACCCTTTCACAGGGGTTGCCCAAGTCATCACAGTAACGAAATGACTGATGAAGGAACAGCAAAAATAATTTTATTTTCGGGGGTCACCACCACAGGAGGAACTGTATTACAGGGTCTTGCATGAGGACAGCTGAGAACCACTGATCCAGAAGGTCCTGCCCCTTCTGGCACAAACCAGAGGGGCTCCCAAAGCAGATGGCTACATTATATCCTGGATTGTCACCCCCATTGGAAACAGTTAACAGTTCTACCCTGCCCTGTTGAGTCACCATTGACTTGATGGCAGCGAGTTTGGCTTTTTGGTGTGGGCTATAGTACCTACGTTTTCAATTGTTAGGGGCGCACTGAGTAATTTCTTTTTCCTGAAAAGGAGGCAGTAGGTCAAATGGGTTTTTGGGAATCTATGGTTTAGATTCTAACTGATTACATTAAGAGCTAAAGAGAAAGCCCACAGTCAAGTGAATTTGACATTCTTGGACCCCTTCAAGCTCTTATTCATGAGGCTTGAGCTGCAAAACACACAGGTGATAGTGAACAGAGCAACATTTTGGACTTCAGTGGAAACCTGTTTTGTTGAAGCATGTGCTTGGAAAGTCTGATTATACATCCTGAATACTTTGCAGAATAAAAGTATAATAGAATGTGGTAAAGCATAATTAATGACAGCAAATTAACAAGAGTACAAATTAAGTGCTCTTGGCAATTGAAGTCACTGATCCTTTATTAATTATATAAGTGTGTTTGTGTTTGCCAGATAAGCCTTCTACTGAAGGCACTGTCCACGTTCCAGTGTAATCAGCCCCGTGCAGTCAAGATTCACGCCTCCCCAAGGCCCTTGGGTGCCCTCTGCTCCACCCAGATGGGGATATGAGTGTGGGGTTTCTCCCGCCTTAATCCTGTTCTCTTCTCAAGGCAGCTTCGTGGGGATAGAACGTGAAAATGGGTTTATGCCGGTTTCCCAGGACTAGCAGTCACTCCTGTCTGGTGCAGACACAAGGTGGAATGTATCCTACAGAGGCCCCAGGATTCATCTAGGGCTGGAGTAGAGGGAACAGACAGGCACACAGGCAGGACAGATTTCACAAGCCACAGTTTGGGTCAGAGAGGCAGAGCCCAGAGAATTCAACTAAGGTAGAAAGGCGGATAAGTCAGAAAACCAAATCATGTTACCACTGAGTCAGTTCCAACTTACAGCGTCCTTGCTTGTGTCTGAGATGAGATTGTTCAACAGCTGCTGTGCTCATTTGAAAATAGATTGCCTGCTGGGATGTTCGAACTGTGATCCTTACAATTAGTAGCCACACATAACCGTTTGTGCTACCCAGAGACTCTGGAGAGACTGGCGTAAGCAGGTGAAAATGCACACAACACTGCTGCTTCCAAAGAGGGGCGGCATGTCTGTAGAGGAGCATCCATTCCTTAGCTGGGGACCAAGCTTCACCTACCTTTTGTGAGCCGTGTAACTCGAGCAGCTTGACCTATCTGAACACAGTTCGTTATTTGCGTAATGGAGCAAATAGCGATGTGCCCCGTGGCATTGCTCTGACGCTGACATGTGGCACACATGCCGATGAAGAATGCCCCTAGAGCAGAAGCCGCCCCGGGGCTGTGGGCTGCTCCTTGCACGTGTTGGTGAGAGCCCAGGAGTCTGCAGCCAAATGCAGACCCCTATGAAGGCACAGGTGCAGTGAAGTGTGATCACCTTAGGTTAGAAACTTTGAGGGCATCCTAAAGGCGGGACCGTCTTGGGAATAGAAGTGTCCAACCTCCTCATTCCGTCCCCATCTCCAACATACCTACTCCCCAACTGTGGTCATGCACAGGTCTCTCTTCCTCCACGTTCTTCCAAATGGCTTTCCAACCTCCTCCCAGGGCTCCCTGCTCCCCAGATGCTCTGTGCCTTTCTGCTCTTTGCCCACGTTCCCAAACCCTGCTGTTCCTGGAAGAGGGAGGCCCATTTTGGGGACTCATTCCTCTTCCGATGTGTACACAGCCAAAGCTCTTATTTCCCACACAGTTAAGGGTGCACTCTTTAAAATGACCCAAGGAGCCCTGAATGACTGGTCCCCCTGTTGTCCTCCTAACCTCTCTTCCTGTCCCTCCTCTTGCTTATTGTGCCCCCATCCACCTGGCTCCTGGCTCTTCCTGGGACAGCCAGCCGCTCTGGAGCAGTGTGTGCTCTCTCCTTGCTCTTCCCTCAGCCGTCTCCGTGGCTCTCCCCCATAACCTGTGCGTCTCCGTGCAAACCTTCTCTCAGGGACGCCTGCTCTGACTAGAGGTTACCGTCTCCCTTCGGCCCTTCTTCTAAGCACTTCGGTTCCTCCCTGCTCTTCTAGTTTAACACCGTCTCCTCCTATATACTTATTTATCATGATTATTTTCTATCACGGTGTAATTTTAAACTCCACTACCTCCAAAGCAATCTGAGGTCCGTGGTCTCTCTTTTGTTCAAGGATGATCCCTAAGCTACTTGAACAGCAAATGCACAAAAACAAAAATTCTCGAATGAATTTACCAGAGTGATGAGTGTGCAAGTTGTCGTGTACTGTGTTTTAATTAGATAAGAAGTAGTCAAACGAGCAATCTGCTGGTGAAATGCAAGCGCATGCAAGGCAGGAAAGGAGGAGGAGCAGGCTTGATTTCAGAAATAGATCTACTTTTGTATTTTCGAGACAGAAATGAACTGAAATGAGCACATTAATCTCACCACTGCCCTCGTGCAGGTCCCCGGAGGGTGTTCTTTATCTACAAAACCGGGCTGTGTGATCCCGTGATTGGGTTTTATTTTCAGAGGACAGAGTTTATGTCAACAGTCCACCAGTGGTCCAGGCCACCATTTATATGATGCATTTCCCAAACTCCTCCCCACAGGTCATGGGCTGCACTTGTGCAGTTTTGTTTTATTTTGGTCTTGCCTGCAAGGGCCTCATGTTGATGTCTCACAGCCAGACCTAAACCAGTCACTATGGAGTCATTTCCAACGCACCCCATCACCGTAGGCATTTGAAAAGCTTCCAACAAACAACAGAGCTAGGGACTGGGGCCTCAGAACCAACTGCTCTGCTATCCGGGCATAAACTCTCTGGATGTCCCCTGTCTTGACTTGAGTAGATGACACTAGAGACAGGCAGTTGAAGGGCTGCAGTTGGTGGAGCTCTGCTATAGGGTAGAACCACACTCGATGTCGTTGAGGGGAATTACAGGGGGCATTTTTAGCTGACTGGCAGACCCATCGCATTATAGAATTGTACACTCTTATGTTTGTTAAACCGGAACACAGACTGTGGAGCTAGAGCTCTTGCCAGTGGGCTATCACCTGTGCTGTCCTGGAGGCAGCCACGCTTTTTTGCTAAGCTGCCTCCTCGGGATTAAATGCACACTGCTTTCAAAGAACGGCCTTTGAAACTCTTACAAAGGGAAGGTCTTTCTGCTGTTCAAGGACCTAGGCCAGTAGTCAGTGCTCCATTCCTTCCTTCACTTTGGTCACTGCACTGGAGTGGCGAGGACAGTGCAAGAGGAGGGAACTGCATTCTGAGTACGTCGGGCAGACCCGGGGAGAGATGATCACAGCTCAACATTTTGAGGGTCCTGCCTGGATTTCTTTCCCTGCTCTCTCCTCTCTGGTTCATAAATGGACCCTCGGGGCTGTCTGTGCTTCTGCCCAGAGTGCCCCACATTGCCCCTGGGCATGTGCTAAATTCTTTCTCTCTTATTTAGAAGAGAAGCCAGATTGCTCCAAGGCTCGCTGTGAAGTCCAGTTCTCTCCACGTTGCCCTGAAGATTCCGTTCTGATCGAGGGTTACGCTCCTCCCGGGGAGTGCTGCCCCTTACCCAGCCGCTGCGTGTGTGACCCTGCGGGCTGCCTGCGCAAAGTCTGCCAGCCGGGATACCTGAACATTATAGTGTCCAAAGCCTCAGGGAAGCCGGGAGAGTGTTGTGACCTCTATGAGTGCAAACCAGGTATGCACCAGCTTCGTCCAAGCAGCCTCAGGGCCTCTGCATCTCAGGGGCTGGCAGCTCTCCTCTCCTCTCTCTTGTTATGTGAAGAGAAGCTTTCTTGTCAATGTATTGCAAGCCTGCCCTTTGGGGTCAGAGAACCAGAAGGTTACTCCTCTGGTACTTCAGCACCTGCAGAAGAGGGACTGAATCTTTGTCTTTCTCTTTAGGCCCCCCTCCCCCTCCAAATGCTATTTGATGGGTGGGGGAGTGTGAAATTCATGATGCTCTGGTTACCTGTGTTACTGGTTACTTACACCCCAGAGAAGGTCACAGCCCTCTGTTGCAGATAAATCTGTCACTTTAAAGTCACTGCATTTTAAAAGTCATCTCATACAATACAGCCATTATTAGGTAAATGTGGGCATCGAACTGCCAGAGATTTGATGGTGCCACGCTCAGCCCCAAACTGCCCGCTCTCCAACAGCTGCCCCATCATCCATCCCTTTGATGCTGTAGCATGTGCTAAGTCATCTCTGATGATGTCCTTACCTTCTCTGCCAACATTTGATTTGCTGCCGTGTTCCAGCTGTTTCTTGCTTTGTAGTATTTCTATCATCCTTGCTCTTGTGGCAGCATGTCTAAGATGGTCTGTAAACACATCTGGACTGGATGGCTTCCCGCCTGCAGATTGCCTGCTGGATCCGTGCTGCAAGCCTCACAGAGCCCCTTGTCCACCTCTTGACCTGCTCTGTCAGAAATACCTCTAGCTGGGTCTCACCATCCATCTAGCCACGGCTGCTTTAACTAACACTCTCTTCCCCATCGTCTCTACTTTTAAGTGTCTCATCCTCCCTCCTCATTTCCTCGCACAGAAAACTCGGGGCACACTACATATCTGTAGCTTCGACTGTCGTAAAAAGGTCAGCGCAAGGACATAAGGACAGGGATGCTGGGAAGCAGAACTTTGGAAGTCTGTCCAGAGCCCATGTTTCGTGTTAAGACTCCACATGCTCTGAGTAAATGTGACAGTAAATGGTGCCTCTGTGTTTGCCCCGTTGCAGTTTTCAGCGTGGACTGCAGCACCGTGGAGTGCCCCTCCGTTCAGCAGGCCGTGTGCCCCCTGGATAGCTACGAAACTCAAGTTAGACTCACGGCCGATGGGTGCTGCACCCTGCCAACAAGGTTGGTTTGTCCTGAGTTTATCAAGTTCTCTTCTCTGCCCTGTGTGTGTCAGCATCATGTGCGGTACAGTTTCCAGCATGCAATTTGACTACCCATGAGAAAGCTAACTCCTTCCCGTTTCTATGGCAAAATCACTGAACTGTTACTATTACTTGGTAGTCACCTAGATCTTTCTTGGGATTAAAGCCAGATGTCTTTGGGATAAGTCATTAACCCTTATAGATTCTTCATATGCAAGTGCTTGTGCAAAGCCCAGAGCTGGGAACTCAGCAGGCAGGCACGTCCCTCTGTATGTGATAGGGAGGGAGGGGCCAGGTATATATTCGTAGTAGACATGCCACAGGAGCCTGTGCTAGTAGTTGCTTCAACAGTGTTTCCAAGGTAATGAGAGGTCACCTGTTTAATCCAAGTGTTCCCAGGTACCCTGCATGTTTGGAACCACACATCTGCCAGACCCAGGAGTGCTTTCTGAGGCAAAGAGGAGTCTAAATTCTTTATTCCTTGCTGGGAGGTCAAAGACATCTCTCTTTGACTTTATGGGTGGGAAAGCTGCCGTCCCTGTAGTTGTGGTAGCAGGACGTCCCCATTGCCCTATAGGACAATCTCCGGAACCCGAGGACCTCTCAGTCTTGTCTACGGCCCCCTTGGAGAGAGCGCCGCCCTGTTGCTGACGCTTGGTGCTTTGCTTTAGGGAAGCCAGTGCTTGGGGGTCCATGGGCTTACATTCTGTTTCCACCACTGAGAACCCGCTCTTCTCCACCATGAGCTACTCCCTCTCTTTCTCATGCCTTGTCTCACAGAGTCAGCGTCACTGCCTGTGCCCTTGGCCAGAGTCCCTTAGGACACTTACCCCCTTGTTCTTATCCTTGGTTCTACATTTACCATCAAGCACTCCAACTGCCTTATGTGGCTCAGTTTCTAATTTCTTCTTCCTGAGTCCCAGTGCGAGGCACTTGGCACCTGTGTTTGCTAAGTGACAAGTTGCGATGATAGAAATGCTTCGATGAGATAGGCCTATCTGTGGTCTGTATTTAAGGTAAGTATCAGTTATTTGTCCATTATTGGGCAGACATCCAATAGATGTCAGACATCCAGTAGATCTGTGCTCACAGTTACTCTTGGTGGCAACAGATGTAGGTGACGGCTACACAGTATGTTAAGGTAGTCAGTGCCACTGATTTGTACATAAAAGCAATGTTGAATTGGCAGATGTTACAGAGATATTTTACGGAGCCCTGGTGATGCTCCACTGCTAATGGAAAGGTCAGCCAGAGAACCCCCCATGCCGCCACCACAGAAGGCAGACTCGGCAATCTGCGTCCATCAGATTACAGCCTTGGAAACTGGACGGGGCAGTTCTCCTTGTCCTGTCAGGTCACTGTGAGTTGGAGGAAGGGGCTCAGTACAGAGCAATAGCAGAACAGTACAAAAACAACTGACTTTGTAGAACGTTGAGGCAAAAACCCCAAGGCTGAGATCATTGTCAGTCTCATAAATTCCGTCCTGTCAGAACATAGGATTCTTGTCAGACACATTAAATTTTCTGCCTTGTCTTTTTATACGGTGTCGTACAAATAAGTACGGAGTCGTTTGTTTGTTTTTAAGATACCACACTATAACCATGGTACAACCACCTTCTTCCGACATTTCGCTGAGATAGCGTTTGGGATGATGTGAGTTCCTGTGCTAGTGGAAGAGTACTAATCTGAGAAGGAGGCAAAGGGAGCCTTTCGCACAGCCGCAGATGTCCCTTCAGGGTCTTCATAGAAAGGGAGGTGGCACATTACATTGGAGAACTTCATTAATGAAAACTAAGGCAGTGCTTAACTAAGTGAAGAACAGGACAATTCACTGTTAGAAGTGGCCTCCAGCAGAGAAGGGTACTTTCTCAGTCACTCGGCGGAGGACTGGGGAGAAGCTACAGGGAGACATATTTAATCTTAGCTGAGCAAAGGACTTTCTCCGAGCAAACGATATCCAGTAATGAATCGGGCTGCTTCCTGAGAGCTACTGGGCGCCCCAAGCTGATCCGAATACTTTCCGTCTGAATGGCCACCTGCCAGGATTGTTCAGGGGCGGGGAAAATGACATTGTAAAGGAGGTTGAATGAGATGCCTGCCATTTTCTACCCTTTTTCAAGTCTAATAAATGATCGTAAGTCTGAGGATGGTTGTGATTTCAGGGGCATAACTTTTTACTTGGGCACCCCCATTGCAGAACCATCAGAGGTATTATGCCATAGCTGAACTGGGGACAAGAAAGGCTTTCAAGGCTCACTGTAAATGATTGGCCAAGAAGGGATAGGGTTCTCACAGCTCTTCAGTTTCCTGCATTTGCCACACTCAGTGACCCATACTCATCCGCTGCCACGTCTCCGCCTGCAGCCGTGTCCCTAGGGGAGAGGCCCACTCCCGCCCCTCCCCCATCCTATTGCCTTAATGTCTGGGCCTTTGGGTGTGCATCTGCTGGTTGGCCTTGCCCTTCCTCACCCAGCTGAGTAGCTTCTGCTTCTCTTTTGGGGCTGCGCTGCCATCTTTTCGACATGGTCCCAGTCTTTGTCCCTCAGTCGTTCCTCAGCATCCCTGCAGTCCACAGCTCGTCACCGCAGCTTTTGTGATACTTGGAATCATGTCTGTCCTTCATTTGTTTGTTCCTCCTACTCGCCGCAAGTAGTTTGGAGCCCGCTGGCATCACTAGGCAGCACAAGCAGTTAAGGCATGCAGCAGCAAGCCAGGAGGTCAGCAGTTTGAGTCCACGCAGAGCTACCTGACACCTCAGAGGAAGGACCTGCGTCTCTGCTTTAGAAGAATCGGCCAGTGGAGCACAGTTCTCTGACACACGGGTGCCGCCGTGACTCAGAATCGCCTCCACAGCAGCTGATTTTGTTGTCGTTTTTTAAGACTTCAAGCAGGAGTCGATGTGGCCGTCACAGGACCCAGCGGCTACAGCCACGGGTCCACACTGACCGGTGCCTGTGAGGATGCAGCGGGATCAGGCAGTGCCTGGGCCACTCACTTGATAGCACCTGGCGACAGAGACGCCGGCGTGACAGAATGAGCCGGCGTACTCATAGGCTTGGTGATTTCTGTGATGACTAGTGTGTTTGAGAAGGGAGTCGTAATGGGAAGACTGTTTCTTGTTACCTTCCTGCCGTAGGGCAGTAACATTACTGCTGGTCTCCCTGTAGTACCCTTGTGATGCCCCGCCCCCCAGCCCACCGAACCCCTCTTTCTTATGGTCCCGATTCCTCAGTTCTATATAAGCTCACCATCCTGAGCCCTGCACTCATCTCTCGCAGCATGGAGGCCGTGAGCTAGCCTTCCCCCCTTTTAGAATTGGCCTCATCCTGCAGGACTTCAGGGAACACCCGCTCAACTCCACCAGGTCTTTGCTCCAGACAACACCTAGCCCACCCTCCCAAAGGGAACTCCCAGCAGATCCCTTTGCACGCTGCCCCTCCCACCCCTCCACCAACACCCCCCTCCCCCCATTAAGAAGAATGATAGGTCTCATTTTAACAAGAGAATGAGGACCCAAGCAATCATGTAAAAATGGAAATTAAAAGGAGAATTAATGGGAATGTCCCTTGAAAAGAAAGCGCTGTCCTCCGTTACTCATCTGGGTGAGCCATGTCAAAGGTTCCTGCTTTATGAGCATTGTCTTAGGAATAAAGAAGATCATTGTGGAAGATGTAAGAGCCTGCAATGATTATGTGACCTTTCTAGCACGTTTATGAAGATCCTTGCTGGGCATTTAGAGCCGTTGAGAGCAAAGCTGCTTATGTGGTAGATTTAGGGGGAGGAGCGCTTTGCAGTGAGAACACGCTAAGGTAATAACGTATTAGTAGTAATAGAGTTGTATCTCAGCAAAAGGAGCAGCCCCTGTTTTGTGAGAATGTATTCTCCTCCCATAGGCCAGACAGGGACTGCGGGGATGCTTCTTTCCCCATCTTATCATTGCCCTCCCATGGACCTCTCGTCCATTGACCTGCGAATGGTTGCCTTTTCCGGTGAGGCAGTTTCTGCCCTCATCAGACCTCTGACGATGGAGTGTGTGCATTTGGTTCTGTGTGCATCAGGCTCCTACAGTGACTGACACCACGCTAAGTCACAGGGTCCTGGCTGTTTCTTTCCACTTCGATCCTGTGACAGGTACAGGCTTCCCCACACACCTGAGGCCCATTGCAGTAGAGGTGGGTTTTTTCTCTCCTCAGGTTTCATTCTTAATGACCCAGTGCCCCACCACCACCACCACCACCCACCCTCTTTTGTGTGTCTTCTGAATTTCATTCTGTTCGGACGTCGTTCTTTTTCAGTATCACAGTAGCCTCCTAACCATGCTAATGCTCCCTTTGCTCTGCGGTTTCTGTTTCCAGGCACCCTGCCATTTCTTTTCATCTGTCTCTCCTTTTGGCACCAAGACATGTTCAAAGCGATATTCCAGCTCATCATACATTTCGGGAGAGGATAGTGATGGCTGAGAACAGGTGGCTCTGAGTCGTGCCGAGGCCCTAACCACCGCACAGTGGCAAAAAGGAGCACGCACAACTTTTGTGCTACAGTTGTCCCCTTGTGCGTGTGTGCACCAATGTCCTCCACACAGAGGGAATTTACCAGAGAGACCCCTGTAAGTCAGAGTTGTTAATCCACACGATGTCTTTGCAGGGAAGGAGAAAAGAAGCCCTTAAACAACGCATGCATAATAGGAGCAGTGACACCGTAGGTGTGTAGCGGGTTGAGCCGTTCACAAGGCCTTCGCGCTTGTCTTTGTGCTCATTGGGCCGTTACCATAGAACGCCTGGGGGAGAGACAGGAAACCGCAGCTTGAACGGTGAAGTGACCTACGTGAAATCATACGCCTCCCAAGGTGTGTGAGGGATAAAGCAGGCCAGAGCCTTCAGCTTAGAGTCTTGGTTTCAACGTCCTGTTTTGCTCTTTCTTTTTTGCCAACCATTTTATTGTTTTTAAGACCCAGAAGGAATATGAATTAAGACTTTAATA